TGGGTTCAGTCCCTAAGGACTTTTCCCACTGTGACTAATTCTCTGGGAACACTCTGATTTTAGTGTTGAAAGGCACATATTTTAGATAAACCATAACCTCCCATTTTAGTCAACTACTTTTCCTTTTTCTCAGTGAAAGAAACAGACACCTATCCCAAGACTGGAGGAAACCCTGGTCTGCTGGACTACTCAAGAGGCAGTGAGAGACTGTCCCTGGTAATTCTGATCACGTGATTTACACACCACTTTCTTTTGAGAACGAACCCCTAAGACATGGCTACAGTGATGGCTGCACATGTTCGTGTGATCCTCTGACTTTTAAATTGCATTCTTCCTTAACTGTTAAACACCCATGAGCAGGAATCAGAAAATCAAAAGTACTGGTACAACTAACATACCTACATCTCCACAAATGAGGCAAAGATGGAGATCATTAGGCCTTCTGAAGTCAAATGTGAAGAAAAAGAACAAGATTATGCAACCGAATGAAATGCTAGCCGTGGGTCCCAAAAGCAAACAATTATTGGGGATTTTATTATCATCTTTAACTTTCTGGAAAACAGTCTTCACAGTCACAGACGTATACCTACAATTATGATACAGACACATTTTCAGGAGACAGTCATGTTCAAACACAGAGCACTACCCTTCTGAACCACCCCTGCAGCCTATTGGGCAAATGTGTTAATTCTTGCCACTCAGCTCCCTCAGCACTTCGCTCATGCCACCTGTACACAAGTTAGAGCTCTCCGGTGACCTTGAGCGCTGGTACCTGTCTCTACCTGGATGGTAAGCTCCTTGCAGGGACCGTGTAGGCCTTCCTAATCTCTGTGTCCACAGGGCCTCAGAGAATGCCCTCTGCAAAGACTGAGAAGTGAATGGGTAAGTGAATAACCAGATTTACTCTCTAAGATTCATTTCTAACGAATCAGGGAAGAAAGACACATTCCAACAGTCATCAGGCCGTTGTCTCCAGCCCAGAGCTCTGCAGTGCACGCCGCTCTGTCCTTACCTGTCCAGAGAAATGCAGCACAGGTGAAAAATTGATGCCGTGGTGAGCAGGACGTCTAGAGAAGTCCGGACGAGGCAAAACATCTCCCCGTAAATCCAGATGTCCTGAACCAGCTCAATGGCACCGAAGGGCATCACCAGCACGGAGACCAGCAGATCCGCAAAGGCAAGAGAGACAATGAAATAGTTGGTTTTTATTTTCCTGTGAGTGAAAAAGTATAAGGACGAGGCGGAGGGGGGAGGGGGCCAAAGGAAGGAGGTTAGGGAGAAAGGAGTGAGAGAGAGAAGAGCAGAGGTAAGGAAAGAAAAGAAAGGAGGAAAGGAAGGAGGGAGGAAAAAGAAAAAAAAGTCAAACGTGTAATGTATCTTGTGAAGTTGTTTCTCTCTGTGATGTGGCTGGGGAGACCCTTTGTGATCCGGCCACTTCTGAATTCTCCAGATTCCTCTCGAACCCAGAGCCTTCCCTTCCTCTCCCGTCTGGCCACACGGCCTGATTAGAGTCCCTGTGGGGGAGCTCCTCCCAAGTGCCTTTGTACAGGGTGCTCTCTCCATGCTATGGGCTTAGCTACCCCCCACCAGTCTTGCAGGCCTCGGATTGGTCATTCTCAGGGAACCTCCCAAGGTGCCCCGCTCACAAACGGTGTCGAATTCCACTACTTTCTCCTCTCGCACTGACTCGCATGTGCCTCTCATTTGTGAGACCTACCAGAAGTGTGCTTTTATATCTGTTGCATCACTAATGCGTGTCTTGCTTAGAGAGGAAGGCAGTAGGCAAGGCAGGACTACCTCCTTTATCCCTTTTATGGTTGTCTGGTGGCTCTTCATCCAGGCTGCACGCTAGAATTACCCAGTGGATTTGCATAAATATTGATGCCCAGGTACCACCCCAGATCAATTAGTTTAGGGATTTGGGGTGATTAATACCCCCATCCACACCCAGGGTTGCCAGATAAAACACAGGATGCCCAGTTAAATTTGCATTCCAGGTTAACAATGAATAATTGTTTAGTATAAGTATGTCCCACATATTGTCTGGGATATACTTATACCACATAGTAGCAATTTTCAAAAGGTCTTCAGGTGATCTTAATGGCAGCCAGGGTTCAGACTGATGAAGTGGAAAGAGAAGAAGACCCGGGTTTAAATCCAGATGAGTCACTATCGGCCATCCCTTCTCTGAACCGACTGATAAAGTGGGGAGGATAGATTAGATGTGCTCTCAACATATGTACATACAGTGATCACAACTTCTAAAAAAACCCAACAAGGTTAAACATAGGAAAAAAGACAGGATGGAAATGCACTTAAGTGTTTACACTGGTCATGTTTGAGTTGGGGGGCGATGTATGATCCTTTTTCCTTGCTCTATTTCCAAACATCGTCCCCATGTATTTTTTCCCTTCCGTAAGTACAAATTATAATGGAAATGATAAGTGCAGACCCCGACTCTCCAGGGAGAGCCCAGACCACCACCCAGGCTTCCTGCCTCATGAGGCTTCCTCATGCTACTCACCTGAGCTGCCGGTCCCTGCACACGGCCACCATCACCAGAAGGTTCCCCAAGATGGCCATCAGGATAACCGTGGAGAGAAACGTGAGCAGCACGGCCTTCTCCACTGACCGGAAACCCTCCTTGGAACTGGAAGACAGACCGACAGACACACATACACACAAAGATTGAAGGAAACCCTGACACACAGGCAAGAAAATGAATCTTTTCCTCATTCATCTTCAGGAAGGGAACTTCACCATAAGCAGCTGCAACACAGAATAATTATGCACCTATTATATGCCATTGTCTGCACTTGTCACTTTATGTGATATCTTAGTTAAACCCTACAAAACAGGGAGGCAGCGGCTCAGACTTGAATGAACTACCCTGAGACTGCACAGTTCTTCTCCATCAGAGAGCTCGTGGCTTTCCTTCAGGGCACTTCCTCAGTTTATGCTGAGAAATGTATTTGGGCGATTCCTGTTTCATGCACCTACCCACCTAGTAAGCTCCATGAAGCAGGTGCCTCATATGGTTCATCCATTGATAAATTCAACTCCAATGTGTTATTCACATTTCTTGAGTGAAGGAAAGATGGTGTTGGATGGATGAATGACAGTAACTCGAACCAGGTCTGCATGAATACAGAGGCCACCTGTTGTCAGGACCCCAGCCCTGCCCATGCAGAAGCTGCTGTGTACAGGCAGGCTGTCTCGGGCACAGGTCTTGGCTTGAAGATTGTTCTTATGTAGCTGACCTGCAAAAATTGGTCTCAGATTCTGTGGAGTCCATTGGAAAGACAGCAGCTGATCACTAAATGTAAGAACTCATTTCACTGCCCTAAACCACATTTCTTTTGTTGCCCAACACAATAGTTCAAATTTGTGTTCTTGTCAATTTTGGCATATGATATGATTCTATCAACTCTGCTGTCCTAGTACGAATAGTTTTGTTTTATTAACTTGGAAGTGAGTGTTCCCATCAATAAAAGCATAATGTTTGCAAATTATTAAGAAGCTTCAGAAAAAAAGTTTTATTTCTATTAGAGCAATAAAAATGGTTTTTAATGTATCTTTTTTTTATTGATTTTTTTACAGAGAGGAAGGGAGAGGGATAGAGAGTTAGAAACATCGATGAGAGAGAAACATCGATCAGCTGCCTCCTGCACACACCCCACTGGGGATGTGCCCGCAACCAAGGCA